ATCATCGGCAACGCGACCGACGGTATGCGGGTTTCAAAAAAAAGTTGGCCCTTAAAAAAAATTTTAAAAATACACACATAATATTATTATCTCTGCGCGAATAACACATATAAAAAGTATTGCGGCCGTGCTATTGAGCGTAAACAGCTTACGTCAGGTGTCGATAACAAATATTGGTGCAACAAGTCCAAGGTTGACAGTGTTAAATGTGTGTGTGTGTGTTTCAAAATCCATAATACAGATGTAAGTATAAAAACGCGCGTGCCAAGACAAAATACGGTTTTTGGATTTCCAAAACAATTACCGGAAATCACAGCATCGTCCTTTGCCGGTTTTTGTACTTGCACTCAAATTGTATACCTATCTATTTCTATTTACCGTAGGCAGCTCTACTGAGTAAGCAATGTATACAACATTTTAAGACTTATTAAGCAGGTAATGCAAATACAAGTTGCAAATACTTTGTAAATATTTTTATAAAAAAAAAAAAAGATGTTTTATTTTATTTCCATTTTAGGGGAAATTGAGAAGCCCCCGTGGCAAAGTACTGAGTCTGAAATGTATACATTTAAATTGTTAACAAATAAATAATATTTGATGGTTATACATTTTTAATAAATTATTGTTCCTAAACCATTTTTTTTTTTTGCTTTTCCTGTAAAATTGCTATTTTTGGAAAATTTAAAACTGATCAAAATGATCAACAATTTATTGATTTTCAAATATCTTATAAATGTTTTACAAATCAAGTCGATGACGCTCTGAAAAATCACACAAAAAAAAACAATTAAGATATCTGACAATCTTATAATATTGTAAAATAGCATAAACAAAACTAGGAATTTTCAATAATTTTTTGAGAACATAATATTCGATTACCCTGTATAATTATAATAATAGAAATATGTTCTACTTTTATATTGGTAAACGTGTAAGTCCAAATAGTTTTAAACTAGGTATCTTTATGGAATTTTAAGCAGCAGTCGGTGTTGGACGCAAAACAATATTTTGAGATAGCATTGTTATAGGTGCGTAGTTAGGATAAACGGGTATTGTTTTAAGCTTTTTAAGTTCATATAAAAAGTATTATCTTTATTTTGGTTATAGAATGCACGAATGTAGATTTTGCTGCCGCAAAGCGTAGGTGGAACAGACGAGGTATACCGCCATAATATAACTATTGCTGTACTGCACCATATGCCAAATCAATGAGATAATAATATAACGCAAAATTTTAATTAATACTAACCTTATAATAAATGTGTAGTAGTAGTAGCACAGTATATAAGTGTAAATAAAAAACGAACACAGATAAGACAACACACAAGGACATTGACACACATAGTAAGGTGGCAACGATAAAATATAATGATTTTGACCGCTATTAGAACACACAATAATAATATGCCAACACGTGTGAGCTATGCAGATTGCAGTAACTAATTAATTATTACTATGCGTTATATAATTATTCGTTTGATTCGTTCGGTAAATAAATTATTGCACAGTGGGAAAAAAAGATCCGTTTATAGAATAGCGCTTAAAATTAAACGCTAGTTGTAATAATATAAATAACAGAAATGTATTATGGTAATAAGACTGCTTCAAAGGAAATCCACCTGCCGTTAAGTACATACCCCTTTGCGTTAAGACTGCCCACTTTTCGAATTTGACTGTGCGCAGCTCAGCTCTTAAACGCTATATAAGAATACACAGGAGAAGATCCGTGAAGTCTGTATTACTTAGTAGCACAGCTTGAGTGACCATTTCACAAAAAAAAATGTATATTTAAACTGGTAGAAATTGTTTTTTTAAGATTAAATTTTAAAAAAAGATACTCAATACAGTACACTGTCTAAAATGGTCTTAAACCTGAAAAAAAAATGTTTTGAATTTGATTTTTCTACACAGTAAAATAATAATAGTATAACTGTGTAACTTTATTGTAACCCAAGTACTCGAAAACCGCACAATACTTATTTAGTATACAAAGATCTACTTGGTTAAAATAAAACAATAATGATTGGTCGGTATTTCATTTTAAACAATTTAATATAACCTTCTTGGTTTTATCCCACACAAGCTGGGCCGTCCACTGTAGATGTCAAAGTGCATTCACTGTACTCAACTCTCAGCCAATCTTAGGCCGCTTTAAACAATATAAAGTCATCTTTGTATTTCATAAATTATATTTGAAAAAAATTGTCAATTAAAAAGTCATCAAAGAAATTGGGCTAGGGGTAGTACGCCCCCCCCCCATCTTTACTACAAGTATTTTTGTAATTTGGGAAGGGGGTGCTATGGACCTTAGATTGGGACAGAAGTTGTTTGAAGTCTGTGAACAGAGAGATTGGGAAACAAAATATCTGTAACTGAGTTTAAGTCTTGTTCGTTGCACAAACAAAATGCATACATAATACCTACACACTGCATACTACTATTGCACATGACTCATGATATCTATTTTAATTGTTAATTAAAAGCCACTGTACCACATTGAAAGTACATCATCCTAATAATATATAGTTTATCACGGTAGAAATGCAATGTATATATATATATATATATTGTAACATAACATTGTTAATTATCATTATAAATTGTATTGATGTAGTAATATTATTATGTGGTGTTTATCTGCGCTGTACAATAAATGCACGGTGCACTATCGTGTTGCGCTATGTCGATCCTTATCGGCCATACACATGCGTTTTGACTTGACCTCATAAGAGCAAAACACAACCGGTGATAGGTATTATTGTTTAAGTATAGTGTAGTAAGGATTTGTTTGGTATTTTTCTTTTCCTTTTTTTTCAACCCTCAATCGAACCCACATAAGTGTAGACCATTTACTTCGTACTTTATTATATATTTATATATATGTATAACATCAACATCAAAATAGTTTAATTAACTTCATTTTTTTTTTTTTACCATCCATTAAAGTAATAATAATAATAATTATCATCAATGTGGTCAATTCTATACAAAACAAAAAATCAGTTTTTTTTTTAAACCGTCAATTATATAATAATAATAATAGTAAGTAATAATAAGAAAAAAAAACAATATTTTTTTTTTAATCATACAACAATACAAATAAACAAAAACAAAAAATAATATTTATATTTATAAATAATTTACAATTCAAACTTAAAAAAAATCCGTCGTGTAGTAATAATATTAATATTATCGTTGTACATCGACCGGCTTGCCAAGTCGAGCACGTTAGAAAATAGAAGACCGTCGTGAGAATAACAATTAATTTTCTCAGGAAAAATCATAATAATAACATAAGAAAATTAGGTAAGCGTAACGGCTAATTTTAATATAATATTTTAATCAGTCGATCCAACATAATCAGTTTTCAGATCTCTTAACGGGGGCGCCTAACAATAATTACTATAATAATAATAATAATATAACTCATAACATTAATCATGGTTTTAGCTTAGAGAAAAAAAACCCCCCTTATTAATTTTATCAATTTTTTTTCACTTGTCTCGATAATTGCATGAGCTATAAAAAATTTGAAAAATTTTCACGCAATTATAGTGTATAATATATTTAAAATAAACTATAGGAAATTTTGTAAAAAAAAAAAAATATTAATAAATAATTAATTAAACAAAAATCGAACACACAAGGTAAACCTAAAACGTATAGAAAAACGATTTCCTTAAAAAGTAATAATACAACATATTAACTATTATTATTAGTCACACAAAGGTCTATGACCGTTTACTATAATTGTTTTTTATTTTTATTTCTAAAATTGGTAAAATTGTTTTGTTCAATAAATTGGTAAAGTCTTCTATTTTCTTATATCATTATACATTGTATGTATAATATTACTATGCATTTAGGGATAGCCAAAAAACATTAATTTAAGAAATAAAAATAACACTTATAAAATAATATGTAATATATCTTATAATTATATATATATATATATGTATATCCTACATAATAATAATAATAACATACAAACCTGTGCATATTTCTGCAAAACTTACTATCTAAAAAAAAAAAAAGAGTTATTTTATTTATTCCATTTAAGTATAATAAGTAATAAAAAATAGCCGGTCCTAGTGCTTGTAACATTGTTGTTTTCTTTTTGGGACAACTTTAAAAAACCAAACAATAATAATAACATAATAAAAAAAACAAACAAATAGTATACAATAAAAAAAAAATTATCGAATTTAATAATAAATTAATAAAAAAAACACTGGCTGTACACAAACGGGCACTATTAATTTATATATAGGCATATATATATATATATATATATATTATTATATTTTAATCGGCCAACAAACATAGCTAATCTTATCAAATTATTAGAGTTGATTAACCGCTATTAATATTATGATCGATGCAATATAGATTTTTCATTCCATTTTTTTTTTTATTTTTACACAAACAAAGTCGATAAAATAATAATTATTATTATAAGTCTATTTATGGATTTATCTACACAATTTTTTTTTTATCCGTTTAGTGTGTTCGGTTGAAGTGTAAATAAAACAAATATAAGTAATTTTTGGGATGCTTTAGCCGTACCTAGTATGATCAATTTTTTTTCTTATTATATTTTACATGCAAATTTTGAGACATACAATATGGGCACCTACCACCTACCCCTATATCATATTATTATGTTGTAACTATACTCAGGACATACGGTTAACGCGTCGAACCTGCTCGTTAAATCGAATGGGGGAAAAATAAAAAAGTATTATAATATTTAAATATTGTATAAAAGTCACGATCGTGCTCGTTCGAGCAGTGTGTGTATGTGTAAAACGTCACAACAGCTGTTATGTGTATATTCAAAGGCGATTGGGCTTGTTTGGTTTTTTTTTTAAAGCCATATTTTGTTGTCCCGATCCGATCTGATCTTTTTAGCGCAAATGTTTTTTTATATATTTATTTATATTTTATTAGAAACGTTGCCCGATTGATTTTTTTTTTTGGTTTTACAATTATTATTCCTAAAAAAAAAAAAACGTTAACGGGCAACCGCTAAGAACGCCTACCTAAGATTACTGGTAATTATAACTTTATTTATATTTATATATATATATATAATTATTAGTCTTGTTCATCTTTTTTTCCCCTACGCATGTCTTCTGTTTGTGTCAATTTTATTCGTTTATAAAATTATATTATTCACACACACACACACATATAATTATTATTATGTACAAAACGTGTCGTTTCCGAGTTGGGATTCACGTCCTCGAAATCCTGGAACTTCCGCCGTTACCGGAAGTAGGTAAACACCTAAAAAAAAAAAAAAATAAACAGTCGGTCAAAGTTTGTATCGTTTTTCTTTTTTCTCTCTTATGTCTGCACCGTTACAATTAGCCGATAATAGCCGTAGGTATTTGGCCGCATTTGGTCTTTTAAAAAGTGGTACAATATAAAACTTAAACGTGCGGTTTAAGCTACTGCTGAATGGGAGGTCGTTACCGGCAGTCTCGAGCGGGCAGTAAAAGTGAGAGAGAGAAAAAAATAAGAGGGATATGCCGGGAGGTGGTCGGGACACTCTGGAAACATCAATCGTACAATTACTGATTTTTTTTCCCTTCCCTTCCGCACCCTTGTGGCGATAAATACCCGCAATGAGTCGGTTGTAGTAACGACCACCGAAAGATTGTGCAGAGCAAAGTCTGGCTATCGTAGGTTAGGTTTGAAGAATAGGAGATACACAGAGAAACGGTCAATCGCTTATACAACCGTCGTTATAGGTACCTACGGGAACTATTGCAAACATCTTAGACTCGAAGAATGATGCTCAAGTTCCGGTTAGAGCTTTATTGTAAGATGTATTGACCCTTCGCCGCATGCAAGTGTTGCAAAGGAATAGATCTGACAAAATAAATATCAACCATAATCAATAAATTATGTCAATATAAATAACCTAATGCATATATGCAGTGAAGGCTTAATTTAGAATGTATTGATTGGGGGAAAAAATGTCTCTTTAGAAAATTTGTCTATTTTAATGTAATACACAAACAGCGTGTTTCGATCAAAATGATTTGGCCAAAATCAATAGTGTACTTCTTAAAAGTGTCTATTCCTTTGTGAATATGTCTTACACAAGACTTTAAGACAGAGGAACAAGTATAGGGGAGGGGGGGGCTTGAGAATACAGGGTGATCGATTTAACGTGAGACACGCATTTTCTCTGGAAATAATAAAATAAACGGTGTACAAAATTTTCGCCTCTAACGTTTCACCGTTTAAAGACAGTGATAGAGCTTTAGAAAATACTAAAAAGAAAACGTTAATTTGAGTAGTAAATTTTATAATAATGCTGAACCTTCCTAGTTCCTACTTATTGTAATTATTTTAAAGATTATTAGTATTATTATTATTGTTGTTGTTATGTTTTAAGACAATTTTCTCAGTGCACTTTATCATACCATTAAGTGGTAAACGCGTCCCTTTTTAGCCGTACCAGTAGGTACGGCAGAGATAACCGAACCGTGTCTTATGAACTTAAAAAAAAAATACGAACAAATCAATTTCCCGCGCCCTCTTAAATGGGCCGGACGTCGTCGGCACGCCGAATGCCTGACGACCGCAAATTCCTTTTATATGTGACTTTAGCCAACCCTCATATCATTATAATAATATATTTTTTCCCAAACCCCTTAAGTGTGCCTGCTCGCACACCTCGGTACAAAATAGTATGATCAACCGTCCGGCACTAAGAGCTCAAAGTACAAAAACAAAACCAGTAACTAGGTACCTTCAGGACACACTTAACTTACTATAGGTACCTACTATAAAATGTATAAAATCTACTTTTTCAGACTGGAATTATTACCACAGATCAGTACTGCAACGCATTTGTGCCCAAGAAGAGACTGACGATAATATTTAGTAAGAGTATACTCTTAGGGTACATCAAAACGTTGTATTCTACTGAGGCAAACAGCTATAAGAATTTGTAAACGTTTTAAGGTACCTAATTGTCCCCTGTAATAGACCCGGACTGGAAAGGCTCCAATAAAGCTAGGTTTGGACCTAACCAGATTTGGCGTTGGTTTTCATAAACCAATTTTAACCTAAAAATAGCTACCCTCTGTGCTTTTTTTTTTTTATAACTCTAATAGTGTTAAAATCACTTTCAAACAAACGCTTTGGTGCGAAACTGTAGATGGTAAACATTGTAAATAGTATAAATAAATTATAAATAATTGTATATAATCTACAGGTAATTTTGTTTAATCGATTAGGATATTTATTATTATGATATGGTTATAAAACTAACAAAAATATTTTCAAAATAATTACTGCAAAATTACTACTTTTTTTAATCAAGTTTCCAGCATGTTTAATCATGTTATCTTTATTTTTCACTGTACACTGATGGGGTACTATATCTAAGGAGTATGCCACACAAGCTTGGAACTAATTCAAAAAGTTATAGCGTGCTTTAATTTTTTGACAAAAAAAATGTGTAAACGTTTAGGATGTTTTTATCGAGTGTAAAAGGTAAGGAGTAAAGTTTTTCAATCTTGGCCTTGTAAAAAAACCTCTTGGGAACGATTTGTGGTCTATAGATTTGCTACATGAAAAAACCTGACCTTCCTACCCACAACAAACTTCTCGGCCCCACGTCGAATCAAAGATGAAGGTATCCACAAAGACTGTACTCATCGCTGTACTAATATTAAAGAACACTCAAGTGATACACAAGTTCTTTGACAACTTTACCGGGTTATGTAAAAAATTGGGTTTTAATAATGGAAAAATTGCAAATTTAATTTATTTAATTACAATAAAGTAAAATATTTAAATGAAAATCGGCTTCCCATATAACATAGTAAATAAGCAAAACAACTCGAATCTTTTTAAAGAATTTGAAATTAGACCATCCTAAATTTTGACTGGCTTTTTGGTATAAAATAAACTAACAAAATGACTTTTACTCATACAAAATATTATTTAAATTAAAAAAAAATACCTTGAAGCTCATACAAATTAACCGGTTTATTAATTTACGTGGACAAAATTGATTAAAACCTCTTTTTTCTTAAATGTCGCCTGTACAAAACTCCTTAAAAAACAGACCGCGTGCAAACCCCTTAAGTTTTTATATAAAAAAATGATGCTAGTTAAGGCGTCCTCGCCTAAGTTGTTTATTATCTATAAGTCTAAGTAGTGTTTATCGTGGTGGACACTTACTTGGATATCCAAAGGGCGGACGCGTACGACCTCCTTCTCTGTCACAGGTAGAGCTCGGTAGGGTTGTTGGGGTTGTTGGCGTTGGTGCCGCCGCCGCCGCCGGCGTTCATCGACTCCCTGGCCGCGCTCAACGTTGAACACCGCTGCTTGTACAGGTCCCTCTCCTGCATGATCCTCGCCAGCTCCATTTTCACCTTCTGCAGGTCGGCCAACAGCGCTTGATTGGCGTTCTCCAGCTCGATGCGCTGGTTCATGCGCTTGGTGCGGCAGCTCTGCGCGTACCCGCGGTTCTTCAGCGTCCGCCTCTTCTGCTTGAGCCGGGCGATCTCCTCCTTGGAGATGCCCTGCAGCCGCTTGTTGAGGTCGCGGACGGGCAGCTGCAGCAGCAGGTCGTCGTTGATCAGGTCGTCGGACGAGCCGCCGCTGCGGGTACACCCTCCCCGGGAACTCATTGGCGACAACACGCTGCCGCTGGACACGCTCATCGACCGGTGATGGTGGCCGCCGTGGTGCATCATGCCGCCGCCGCTGGACGTCGGGCTCATCTCGTCCTGGTGGTGACGTCTGTACGACGACGACGACCCGTTGCTGGGCTGTATGACGGTGGCGTGCTGATGCTGCGCCATGTTCCACTCGGCCACGGACACCGCCGCCGGCTGTTGGTGGTGATGGTGCTGTTGTTGTTGTTGTTGTTGTTGCTGTTGTTGCTGTTGTTGCTGTTGCTGTTGCATCTCTTCGCTGCCGGCGTACGACGGCCTCAGGTCCAACGGCTCTTGTCCCTGCCGCAGCGATTGCGTCAGCCACGACGTCATGTCTTCCATGAAGCCCGGCTGCCGGATCGGAGTGGCCGGCGGCGGCGACGAGCTGACGGGCGGCGTGTCCGGCGGCGTGCCGGGAGTGTTCGGGTATATCATGGAACCGTCGGCGGACACTTTGACGGCGCCGTTGGCGGTGATGAGCACGCCGGCTGCAGCGGCGGCGGCGGCGGCGGCTGCGGCGGCGGCCGCGTGACCGTGGATCACCATGTTCGGATGGTGATGGTGGTGATGGTGGTGGGACGCCGGGTACTCCTGTTCGCATCCGGGCGGCGTAAGCAGATAATGAGGCGGCGGCGACTGGACGAGCGCCACGCCGCCGCCGGTGATGGGCATCGACGGCAAACGGGTCCTGTGGTGATCCGGGTGCTGGTGGTGATGGTGGTAATAGTCGGCCGACGGGATTTCGCGCTTCACCGTCGCCGCGGTCGTGTCCAGGTGGTCCAGCACGAACTCTTGGACGTACTCGTCGGCCAGTCGCGGGTCGTCCGCTTCCATGTTGCGCGTGTGTATTAAAACGGTTTAATTGAAAATAACAAACAAAAATAAAAAAACAAAAACTCTAAACGAGCGCGCGCGGGTCTGACGTGGGTAGCAGCAAGCACGGGGTTGCGTTTACATCGCAATCGAAGCTGGCTAAACACGACGCGATCGGTACTATATAATAACGCTGTGGTGTGCACTGCTGCGTGGACTCGGAAAATCGGTGGTGTCTCGCGGGCGCGTCAAGGCTCGACCGATGCAGTTTCCGCAATGCCGGCGGCCAAGAGCGGCGCTCGCGAACGGCGACGGGCGTCGCTTACCGACCGCCGTTCAGTGGGTGGGACGGCCGGCGTCCATTGGCCCGTGCGGCCGCCGTTGCCCGCCCCGGGGTACGCGTATATTACCTAGCCGTAATTAGGACGCCGCCGCCACCGCCGCCGCCACAGCCGCAGCCGCCGTTTTTGGGCCTTTGCGAGAGGCCGAGATCAAGGTCAACCCCGGACCGAAGTCTGACTCTTCTTTGTAGGTATCTATAAAGATTATATTAACAAATTAATAAATGATAACAATAAAAAAGTAGGTAGTTATTAAAAAAATATTTACGAAAACAATAAGTAAATTTTATGACTTTTAAAAAAATATGTTAAATTTTTCATCAAATATGAACAAATCAGAACTCAATTTCTATTGAAAATGTTCTTCAACACCATCAACAAAAAAACAGCTATCCTCAAAAGTTCACCTTAGTCTATACCTTTTTTTTCTATTCCATAAAATAATTTACAATTTGTTATTACATAATCTGCAAGTAAATTTGAAGACATATTAAAGTATCTATCTACCTATACACACATGGCACGGATGACCCGGAGAGAGGGCTAACGTTCACTATTGGCATTTCAGAATTGAACTTAATAATAGGTTACAACTAGCTAAGATTCTGGTTGGAAAAACTCAAACTGCCATTGGCATTAAAATATATATTTGTTTGTACATTTCATTCAGCCAAATCAACAGAGATAATATATTATTATAATAAACATATGGGCACACACCAAAAATGTGTTCAAGATAAAATTATAATATATAATATACACAAAACTATTATACACAGCAAACATTGAATGCCAACACAAATCGAGTTCACAGTGGCCCAGGTCAAGAAATTTAGACTATAACTTATCGTCGAGTGTCAGCTATTTTCAATTAAAAACATTATTTGCTGAAGAATTGTGTTTTGTTAATGCAATATCTATACACACACACGCGTGTATACATACTATAATAACACAATATTTATCGTTGTAGATGAATAAATTTGTTACTATTTTTTAGTCGGTGCTTCATAAAGATGAGATATAGACTCTGAGACGCATTTGTCATTGGGCAGAGTAGGTAGGCCCTGTCTACTTAGGGCGGCAGATTTTGTACTGTTTTTCTCAATAATATTATCCTTAATTTACGCCCGAAAAGAAGGAGAAGTAAACTAAATAAAATTTAGTCTTTATATTATGTTAATTTTTCAATATATTATTATAAAAAACAATATTGTAATTTTACAATAAAACTATAAAATCAACTATACAATTTTTTTTTTATTATTAATTACTGTATACTACTAATTGAACTATGACTGGCATCTATTGGCATAATTTTTATTTTTAATGTAGCTAAATACCTAACTCAAAGGTAAAGGCGTATCTGTAGACATATTATATAAGCATTGTCAATAATGTGCTTTAAAATTGTATTTTTAGATTATTAGGGTGGATACGATTGGAGTTGGTCAACAGTGTAATGGAAAAATGTTACAACAGAAATCTGTTGATCCTATTTAACCGTAGCAACTTAGAAATGTATTGAGTTCAAAGTGTAGTTACCCCCCCCCCTTTTTTTTCGAAAGGGTTTTCCTCAATAAAACAAACAATTTTTACTACAAATGTTCTAAGAAAATTGTATAGGCTAGTTTCTCTATTGAATGTATTTTGTTAAGTTTTGTTCTAATTTTATATATACCTATTAGCCACTCATTATTGTTTAATTTTATGTAATTGTCGAGATAAATTGTAATATGCAGAATCTCAATAAATAAGCAAAAAAAAAAAAAATTGTATATTTTTTGGCTCCACACACAAGTCCGTTTATCTTGTCTAATTTTCTGGGATTGAGTCCTAAAAGTTTGCTGGAAAAATATGAATAAAGAGAAGAAGTATTTCTACCCTTTCTAAGGAAAAGGCGTTTTTTTTTTTAAATTTTTTTCAAGTATGTCTATACAGTACTTCATCTATGTGGTATTCTACGTCATCCCATTCACTTTTAGCACACTAAGTACTCGGCTAATATAGATTTTTAAAATATGTATGTACTCTGTACACACTACACACGCCGTTTAACGTCGGATGATTATATAAAAACAAATTCGACATTGACCTCGACGGTTTGAGGGCATTTTCTAAAAGCCACAAAAATTCACAGAACAACCATTATTATAGGCGATGAAAACGAAAATGCTAATTCAAGCAATAAAATAATTAGTACAATATTAAATGTGTAGCATAATATATTATATTATAAGCAGAGTATATAGAGGAAAATATGATAAAACTTGACGGCTATCATCGAGCTGGCGCTAAACAAACAAATCGTAGCACTTATACCGGCCACAGCCGCTGATATAGATGTGAGATAATATATTAGAAGGCACACGTGCCAGTGAATAATATTGTTATAATTAGTACAATATTTTACAATCTTGGTGTTATCCTCTTGATTGGTGTATGATCCTTCTACGTTAGCCCGTTGTGTGTTTGCCTGATATTATTATTGTCTCGCAATAAAACAAGTATAATATAATTGATATTTTTTAAGTAAATCGATTCAACCCGACAGTATACGACCGAATCAAAAACCTATGTTCCTATTTGAAAAAAAATTATGTCCTTATAATGTCTTCTTATCTTATGGTACATTCAACAAGGTTCATGCTCCTCACCTGTCTCTATCCAGTATTCCCTCCCTCTCCTACATTTGTCACTGATCTCTTATCGTCAGCGGCCTCTCGACCGTTATCAGCAGGTCTCTTATCACTAATCTTTTATCAGCCGTTTCTTATCACTATCGGAAAAAACGGTGTCGCAAATTCTTGAAACAGACCCTCAGCCATATTTAACATTAATAAAGTTCTAAAAATGGCGACAAAAATCTGATTACACTTACAACTTTCATAACTCATGTTTGACAATTTAAATCCTTTGTTTGTGTACATCTTCCTTGGCTGATTACTTTTTTGATTTTGAAATTGTTGAAGAATTATTTTAAATATATATTTTTATTACCAAGCAATTATTGGAGAAATGTGTTTTTTTATGATTTACACAAATTTGAAGCTCTATAATGAATCAACAGCTACACAACAGATAAAGTTCTGAAACTCTTCACTGCACCTCTACACGTGTCAAGGTGATTCTAATAAGACCCTCTATATAACAAAATAATACTGCTATTTTGTAACTTCTCGACAAGCTCATAAAAAAAAAAGAACAAAACTTTGCAGACATTTTACATATTATTATTTATTAATATTATATTGTAATATTTTTATTGCACACGATATTGCTGACGAATTATGGTGTACGGTTTAAAACCAAAAAAAAAATAGCATTAAAAAACATGCATTATAGGCATCGATGGAAAAAAAAATCCTACACCGGTTTTACGTTACACATAGGATGTGTGTGTATGTGTGTGTTTATTTTTTATACCTATATATAATTATTATTATTGTTATTTGAAAATTAAAATACAAGAATTGTTACGTTCTCAGTGGACGACGGGGCTTAGTACTTATATATATATATATATATACATATATCAATACTTTGTATATTATAATACATATATTATATAGGTATACACTTATTATGTACATGTTATATATTATTATTATTATAATATATGTTGTACAATGGACGGACAAACGGGCCAGACAACAGGAAATGACAACATCGAGTGTCGATCGCCTGACAGAAACATTATATTATTATTATTGTGTTGTGTGTATTTGTATGGAAAAATGGACGTCTCGAAAATCGCTATGATTTTTTTTGATTTTTTTTTTTTTGCTGACTGTCAATGTGAACGTCCGCTGCCGATAATTAAATTTATTATTAACGCGACATGTATACAATATGTATATATATATATCGAAAATTCTTACTAGTATTACTGTTTACCGTTGTTTAGGCTTTTGTTTTATTGATTTTCCACGTCATCGTAAGTAGGTGCATATAGTATTTTATCAAAATAAAAAATAAAAATACATAGTCTAGTTGGTGACCCAAGTCATGATTGGTTTTAAAATCAATTTATACAATTATTATAAACGTTTACACAATTCCTTCTGCAGCTTTGTCACTCCAATTCTGACATTCAAGTTCAACTATTTCTTAAAAATAATCACTAAACCATTTTTATTGGTCTTACTCTGTATATAATAATGATAAGAATGCTACGAATGATAATAATGATAACAATGATACGAATGATAAAAATGATAATAATGATACGAATGATAAGAATGATAATACATAATTTAAATTCGCAGCATTTTCTTACATTGCTAAACAGGTTAAACACATGGCTGAGAACGAAATTGGCTTTGCCAAACGTCCATCACACAGTAACTACATCTGTGAATGATGTTGTAGATAGTTTTTCAACTAATCAAAAAACAATTTTTAATTTTGCTGTAGGTATAAAATAATTATTAATCTTTGTTTTTATATATCTATTTGAGTACAATATGTGAATTGAGTCGCTACAACCATCGTTTCGAAATGGTAAGAATGAACGACCAAGTCGGTTAGGTAATTCAATATTGAAATAGCAGTACCTACATCGAGCTGTGTTGATTTATCATATTTACTCAAATTGTAATTTGGCATTACAGACCGGGACAGGGACTCAATTTCCTGATTTATGACTAAAATCTGTTTACTATATGAAAAGCCTGAAATTTCAGACTATAATAATTGTTGGATAGCAACACTCCCAATAATTGTGAAGTGGCGACAAGCCAAAAAGGGACACAACGTGAGACTATTAACAGCAGGTTATTAGCAACTATTTTCCCAACCTGGTGAAACATAAGAGATTTTTCTGAGATTTTTGCTTGTCCCCTTTGGATGCCCTCTGCGTCTGAAGCGCTTAATCTCGACGGTTATCAACGGGCCACAGGTGATAATATATATATATATATATATAA